TCTCTCTGCCTTTCTTTCTTCTCTTTGCCTTCCTTCATTTAGTCTGATCGGTCACAGCTAAATGCACCAGAATCACTTTACAGACTCTCAGAGTCAACTGCCTCTGGAGTATCTATGGACGGAGCAGCACCAGCAGGGCTCAACATCCCCCCAAACTGCCAGGCAGAGAAAGGCAGGAGTTATTTAGTGCTGCTCTTTCTCCAATATCGTTGAAATCATGCTGGTTTCATGGCATTTGCTGAGATGGGCAGCTCCTGGGGTGGGAAATTTCCCAGCTATCAGCTTGATTTCCGCTCTCCCTTCTATTAAAATATTTCCTAGATCCCCATTGCTTCACTGGTTTCTATGTGAGGAAACCTCTTTTTTCAAATGGGCTAAATTCTATTCTAATGTAAACTGGCATTTCTCTATTGACTTCAGTGGCACGAGGCCGATTTACATCTGCTGGGGAGCTGCTCCCTGGTGTAGTTGAGACCATATCTATGATTGTCTATTATTGTCCATGGCGATGTTGTTATCCCCACTGCAGATGTGCAGAATGAAAGGGTTCTCCGTGAATCGCCGCTTCCAGTGTGTCTGACTCCGCTGAGAAGTGGTTCTTATCACGGTTGTAAAGAACAGAGCCTAGAGAGGCCCAACAAACCGGCTACTGGGATAATGGTAAAACTGAGACTGCAAAGAACACCTGGATTGAAAGCCGAAGCTTTTAAAAAAATATCTTTTAGATGAAAAATTAAGATCTGAACATTTTGGGGGGGAAATGTTGCTGATTTTGGTTTTCCAAAAGAAATTTTTTGTGTTGAAAACTTCATACATTTAACCACAATGTTTTTTTATTGTCCCTGGGCTGGAAAATTTCCCATGTATCCAGTCAATTTACACTCTCCAGTGCATTGAATTATCTCCTGGATTCCCAATTCAATGCTTCATTATGTGCCATGTACGAAACAGGCCAATTTCTGTTCTGGTGTAAACCGGCACTACTCGATTGACTTCACTGGATCTCGGTCCATTTACACGTGCTGGGGATCTGTTCCCTTGTATAATTGAGATGTTGTATGTGGTTGTCCAGTCATGATACTATTAACCCCAGTTCCAATGGTGCAGAATGACAGGATTCCCAGCGAATCACACCTCCCAGTGTGTATGACTCCACTAGGACGTGGTTCTTATCATGGTTGTAAAGAATAGAAGCCAAACAAAATTCCAACAATATGTCTACTAGTATAAAAGGAGACTTGAAAGTGCAGAGAGCATCTAAATGAGCTCTGACACACCCTTTTGGGATTTAGAAAACCATCTTTTGTCTTTTGGTCCAGTCCTTCCACGTCTGTCCAGGTTATTCCAACTGACCTCTGGCTCAGGGTTTGGGCTTGCTAAGAGGTCCTGCGGTAATATAAGACAGCCTGACAGCCAATCAAATTTGGAATACTCACCCCAGGAACTGTCGCTGGTATGTTCCCCACAGCCTGTAAGGAAAAAGCTGGGAGTTACTTGATCTTCTGCTTTCTCCAATATCATCAAAATATAGCCACTTCCCTCCCCTTGTCTACACTGCAGTGGCTCTCAAACTTTTGTACTGGTGACCCCTTTCATATACCAAGCCTCTGAGTACTACTCTCCTTATCAATTAAAAACACTTTTTAATATATTTAACACCATTATAAATGCTGGAGGCAAAACGGGGCTTGGAGTGGAGGCTGACAGCTCGTGACACCCCCCCCTCCATGTAACAACCTCGCAATCCCCTGAGGGTCCCGACCCCAGTTTGAGAACCCCTGGTCTATAGCTTAACCACAACATGTCTTCAGTAAGAGCACTGTCTGAGTGTAGCTATGCCAGCGGACTAGTGCGCTTTTGTGGGTGTAGGTTCTACTAGCGCATTCTGAGCTAAATAATCCATACAGGGAAAAGCAAAGTTTTGCTGCTATAACTGTATCTACAGGAGGAGCTTTTGCCAGCACAGATGTGTCATTCAGAGATCAAACATCTTCACACCCCAGACCGACACCACTATGCCAGCAGAAGTCTGTAGTGTAGACAAGTCCTCAGATAGTCAACATTCCCACTGCCCTTCTTTCTCAGTGCTGGGATTAACCTCCAGAGTTGAGCCGTTTCATTACTTCTCAGGATAAGAATTAGAGTTGGTTGAAATTTTACTCTGGACATTTCCCAGCCATCCAGCTGATTTTGACCCTCCCTCCCTCTGAAATATCTCTTAGATGCCCACTCACATGCTTCTTTATCTGCCATATTAGGAAACTCATTTTTCAAGTGGGCCAAATTCTATTCTGGTGTAAACTGCCACTACTCCATTGGTGTCGGTGGAGAGAGGCTGACTTCCACATGCTGGGGATCTGCTCCAGTGTATAGTTAAGAGTGTGTTTGTGATTGTCCATGGTGATACGATTATCCCAAGCGCCTATGGAGCAGAACCACAGGATTCCCAGTGAATCACAACTCACAGTCTGCATGACTCCACTGAGAAGTGGTTCTCAAAATGGTTTAAAGAACAGGCCCACAGAAATGGAATACATTGGCTACTAGTATAATAGGAGAAAGGAAACTGCAAAAAAGGTCCAGATTAACTTGGATACACCCCTTTGGGATTTATAAACTCATTGCTCTGTCTTTTGTCCAATCCTTGTACATCTGTTCAGGCTATTCCAACTGACCACTGGCTCAGGGTTCACGTTTCCTAAGAGGTGCTGGGTAATATAAGACACCATACAACAAAGCAAATTATAATACTCACCTCACAAATGACTGCAGGTAGGTCTAGGGATACCTGCAAGGAAATTGCCGGTAGTTACCTGAGTCTGCTCTTTCTCCAATACCGACAAAATTCCCTCCCATTGTCCATAGCTTAACCACACCATGTCTACACTTGGAGCACCGTGTCAGTATATCTATCCCGGGATACAATGCACTTCTTTCAGTGTAGCTTATTCTAGCTCTGTCTGAGCAAAATCATCTATATGGGAAATGCACAGAGTCGCTGCTATAACTGCATCTATGCTAGGGGCTTTTGCCAGCACAGTCCTGTCAGTCAGAGATCAAACATCTTCAGTCTCAGACCGACACCGCTATGCCAGGGGAAGTCTGCAATGTAGACATCTCTCCAGACAACTTTGTGATGGGCAACGTTCCCACCGCCCTTCTTTCTCCGTGCTGGGATTAACCTCCAGAGTTTGGGGGTTCCTTACTGCTTGGGATAAGAATTTGAGCTGGTTAAAATTTTTACAAATGAATTTTCTGAAAAAAAATTGTCAATTGTTTTCCAAATGTCTTCCCTTTTTAAACAAATTCAGAAATGAAAAAGGGTTGCAATTTTCTCATTTATGATTCCAACCCCCTAGATTTTCACTCCTTATTTTGCTTTGACTAGAGCTGTTTGAAAAATGTGTGTTTGGGGAATTTTTCCAAACCAAAGAATTGCAGGCATCCACATTTTTCAAAAAAAAAAAAATTAAACTGTTTTTTTTAATGAAAAACTGAAATCACCTCCCTTTACTTTCCCTCTGAAAAGGGGGAGCTAAAAAATGCAGGGAGGAGGGGCGCAGAGTGAGAGGATCCTAACCCAAAACTTCCCCCAGGTTTTGGTTTTAATTCTTTTTTGTTAAACATCAGAAAATATTGGAAGACAGCTATGAATACTCACACCGGGAGCGCCTTTGACTATATCCCCAACATCCTGTAAGGAAAAATCTAGGAGTTACTTGATCTGTTCTTTCTCCAGTGTCATCAAAATGTAGCTGATTCCCTCACAATGGCACTACTCCATTTTGGGGGGGAAATGTTGGTGTTTTAGACTTTAGAGAAGTCATTTTCCCCCTACACTCGGAGCACCGTGTGAGTGTAGCTATCCCAGCGTCCTAGTGCACTTTTGTGGGTGTAGGTTATTCTAGCCCTTTCCAAGCTAAATAATCTAGACGGGCAAAAGCACAGTTTTGCAGTTATAACACTAGGGGCTTTTGCCAGGACAGCCAAGTCGTTCAGAGATCAAACATCTTCACACCCTAGACTGACACTGCTGTGCCAGCACTAGTCCGTAGTGTGGACAAGTCCTCAGATCATCAACACTCCCAATGTCCTTCTTTCTCAGTGCTGGGAT